CTCTTCCCCTCATGAATTGTTTGTAATCATTTATGCACTGGGAATTTTGGATGGGACCATGCCGTGCTTGAATTTCCAATGAGCTGCTGTTATGGATAGAGGAAACATACACATCTTGTTTGTCTTGCCATTTAAGGGCCAATATCTAATTTCTCAAACTGGCTGCCTCCCTCTTGTTCAGCCTGGTGACAACTAGTTGTTGTGGGAAGCCCTTTTCACTAGGTCGAACTGTACCACAAGCTACAGTTTTGTTGAGGTAAAGGTGGTGGAAAAGGGACCCTGTGGCCCTTTTGCAGGATTTGTACATCTTTACCCCATATCTGACCCATTTGCTTGGGATGTATTGTTTTATGCCCAACCTCCCGGTGAAGTGAGTTAACAATTCATCAACACAGATGTTTGTTTTTGTCATGACAATGTATTTCCAGAAATTTTGGTGTAAAATAATTGATCAGTGGCCTAATTTTCTAAAGTTTGTCATATTTGGGGTGATATCTTGGGATTATCACTGAAGTGTAAAAATTGCATAATTATTTTATAGTGGGTCCTGGGCATAGTGGCATAATAGATTAGCATATGTTGTATGGAATTTGTGGACCAAAAAGTCTGCAGTTCGTTTTTTTTATTCCTAAATTCTTGAATGGTCAGGGGTTTCCACTCAAATGGATGGGCATGAAGGGAGCTGAATTCAAAATAGCTATTGTGAAAAACAAATTTAAAAAATCAAGAGGAGTAACATTTTGAGTTTCCATCTGAATACCTAGCTGGGCTATGAATGGGGGAATTATAGGTGCTCCAGAATCTGAAGGTAGCCACACAGGTTTAAAAGTGTCTCTGGCAGTAAGGGCTCTCATCCTTGGTGGCTGACGTGGACGTGGTGGATAAACTGCGCTGCTAGTGCTAGCCATGTCACAGGGAGATATTGAGCTTCTGGTGGTTGCCTGCTGCTCCTCGGAGTGCCTCATTCTTTTTGTTGGACGCTGTTCTGAATCAGATGCTGAACTGCTGCTGTCTACAGGTTCATATTCAGAATCTTACAGTGAGAGCTCCCTGCTACTCTCATCCATCATACTCGGAAATTACTCAGTTAGCTGTAATCGCTCTCTCTCGTCACAGACAATAGTGTTGATCAGGATCCACTGGTATGGTGGTGATCAGGACCCACTGGTATGGCGGTGATCAGGACCCACTGGTATGGCTTACAATGGACATTGTTGGACAGAGAGTGGTTGAGCAACACCACCATACCATTTGGTTACTGATCATTGCCACTCTAATGGTGGTGGTGATCAGGGAGCAACTGTTATAATGGTGATCAGGAATCCACTGGCATGACTTTGATCAGGAACCAAGCTGGCGTGGCAGTGATCAGGAACTAAACTGGTGTGGCGGGTGATTTGTAAATGAACTAGTGTGGCAATGATCAGCAACCATATGGTATAGTGGTGATTGGGGCAAACTGGTATGGCAGCACTGTGACAAATGACAGCTGGGCAATGATCAGGGACACTGAAGTGGCTGCTGGTGGTGTGTAAATATTCTACAAAGCTCCCACAGTCTGATGCCGATGTAATGGCGGCTCGTCCTCTCACAGACAGATCTGCGTCAGGAGAAGTAGCCGGAAGCAGCACCATGCGGCTTTTGTTTACAATTACATTGTGTCCTGACTAGACACAGTGATCACATATTTTTGTCGGTCCTATATCATGTCATGTGATCCACTGTGTCCGGGCAACACAGCAATCACTTGACTCATGGGTGCAAACTCTAGGAAATACGCGACAATGTACCGGTACGTCAGCATCGGCACCGCTCCCGTCCCCCCCCCTCCCTATGTGCTTTTGACTGAAGCGGTTACAAGAGACTGAGTGAGTACAGACCTGCCATTACACCCTAAGGGAAGGAGAGGATATTGAAGTGCAATACCTCGTGTCTGGATCCAAGTGTAGCTCAAGTGCAGTGCAAAACACTAATTCTCTTACCTTGGGACTAGAACAGCCAGGTGCCGTGCAATACAGCCAGGTGCTGTGTCTTTAATAGAACTGTTTGGATCTTTTATTCCTTGTTGCCGCTGTACTTTTACTCCTACTGTTGTGCAGCTCAGTTTGGATTAGAGCAGCTAGAGTCTTAGCAGGCACTCAGCTGCTTATACATACAGTAGTTCTACAATGTTTTTTCAGTTCAGGGATCCCCATGCACCCCCATTCTCCATTCAAATTCATTGTTCCTAATATAAGCACAAAACCAAAACCCCTAGACCATTTACTGAGCCATGGAAGAGAGTGTGGAAAATTAATTTTGCTTGGCTTTGAGTGCTGTGTGGGGAAAATTGGCCCAAAATCCAGGTTCTCCTTTGAGAGTAGCGTCCTTGCTGCCAACAGATGGCAGTGTCCTGCAAATTCAGTGGCACTCTCACTCTGCAGGGCAGCCCCATGGGCCTTGTATGCTGAACCAGGAGGACTTTGCTGGGGAGCAATGTATCAGAGGACTACCTTTCCTAGAAGAGCTGGCGTGTGGACGGGGGTAGATATATACAGAAGCCCGGGAGACCAGGAAGTAAGAGGGGAGAAAGCTGTAGAGCAGTTAGAAGCAGAGGGAGACTGTGTTGACTGCCGGAGAACCAGACAAGGCCGCAGAGATAAAGAAAGAGGTAAGGAGGAATCATTGACAACTAGCCTTGCCACCCTGTTCAGTGATACAGTCTGCCAGCAGGTGATCAGACAGAACGCTCCCAGTGAGAACGGAGAACCTGTGGGGGTCCCCATCCACGTAGAGAGAGGCAGCCCGGACCTGTTGGAAACTACCAACTGGATGAGAGAGTCCCATACACCTGCCAAACAAGTGAACATTCTCCCTAGATTTGCTACTTTACCTGCACTCAGTTACAGACAGTGCATCCAGTTAACACGTGTTGCGGCCTAGTTCCCATAGCCGCTACCATTGAACACAGTTGCAGAACAGTCCAATTATTAGAGCTGAACGCAGTGTACACCTCCTGCAGGCCACATTACATCAGTGCTCCCTTGACCAATGGCTTACCACCACAAAGGAACATCTACTACCATTGCCATTGGTTACTGCGGCCAAGAGTGGTGTGGCCAACAAGTGTGGAGTTTGCCAACAAGCTCTACTGCCAGTTTGACACTTTATGTGCCTAAAGATGCCTTTCTTTCCTGAGTGCATAAAAGGGCACAGCACCCAAGTCAAGTGCCACTTAAAGGGAGAGTACTTGTCCTTTCTTTTTTCTTTTCCTTGTGATCTTCTAAGAAACTGTCACCTACATCACTTCTACTTGTATTACAACTGGGCCCCAGCGAGCGTGCAGAAGAATCCTCACTACATTTAAAGGGACATTGATTACCCTGGTCAAAGAAGTCTTTCTATCTCAGATTCAAGCCTTGCCATCAGGGCCCAAATTGAGCTTGTTATACTGTTTGCTAGTTTTCATTGTTCACATGGGGTTGACAGCACCTCCAGTTGAAGGTATTGGGCTAACTTCTGAAAAGCAGGCCTACTAACACTGATTGAGATTGTTCTGAATGCGTGGTTTCTTTTCTTAAAGCTGCTAACAGTAATAATTGCCACTACATGCACCAATACCATTTTGTACTGTTTAACCAAATTTAATAGAAACCTCATATCAGTTTACTCTACTTTCTGGTGGTAATTTACTCTGGTCTAAATAATCCAATGGTGTCAGCAGGGGTTGGGCTTTCAGAAAGAGGTCCAGGATGACAGGGAGCCTGAAAATAACTTTTAAGGGGATAGTGGTACACACCTATACAGGTCTGCTCCCTGTTCTGACCCTATTTGTCAGGAACGTCTCCCTGCACTAATCACTTTCCTTAACCAGCAGAGTTTCTATCCCTGACCTACCACTCACTTCAGGCACACCCAAATGATGTAAGAAACCCTATATATAAGATTTCCAGTCAAGATGGCTGCCTGAGGTCTTCAGAGGTTGCAGCGTCCAATTGGACAGCTGGCATTTCTGAGACTCTGACGGAGTCCACAAGTGGTCAATTCACCCAACCAATTCCTTTCCATCTGCAATAATGGCACAATGCCACCTACAGGATGGAGGGAAACTTGCAGCTGCCTACAGGCCAATACCTATGAAATACTGAAACAATTGATACTGCTGGCTAATTGCAACACAACATTCATCACCCTGCAAAGGGAGATTGTATAGCAGACGTCTAATTTGAACACAGTGGGCTTAACTCCCTGCACCCCGGCTCTGCAAAGCTTTATATTTCCTGTGAAATTCAGATTACTAAAAGTAATGAATAAGAACCAATTAAAAAACTAATTTGACTTAAAACAACCAACAATGCAAGAAAATTTTTTTATAGAAGATGTTGCTTTACAAGTCATATCACTGAGCAGACAGAAGAGAGCGGTGGTGTCACTCTTACTATACCAGGTGGTGACCCCCCCACCCTCCAGCCTTGTTTCATCCCTCATCCTATAAGGTGTCTGTATCAGCTGCACAGTATCTCATAAGATCTGACACTAAATCCTAAATCAGGTTAATGGTGGGGGAGTCCAGCTCGGCAATCCTGGGATAATGAGTCCAGTTTTACAGATTAGCACTATGCCGCACGACTCCAGCTCTATTATGAACATTGTAGTGAACTGGAAAATGTGCCAGTCAGATTACAACTCACTTCAACTCTTTTTGTAAAGAAAATGCTGGCTACAGTATATGGTGTCCTCACATCTCTAACCACTTGCTACAATTTAAATTTTTCTTACAATTTTTTTATGTCCACTGCTCCCTTATTGTGTTGGAACTATCCAATTCAGAATGAAAAAAGCATATTCCCAGTACAAGGGGTTCATGTTTTCAGCAAACAGTGCTGCCAGTTAGCATAATATTCTGGTAGTAATGGGGAAAGATGCAAAAGTACTACTTTTGGTGTGTTGCTGTACCTTTAAAAAACACATCTATGGTCAAAATATCACCTCCATGGCCACAGGTGTATAAAATCAAACACCTAGGCATGCAGCCTGCTTCTACAAACATTTGTGAAAGAATGGGTCGCTCTCAGGAGCTCAGTGAATTCAAGTGTGGTACCATGATAGGTTGCCACCTGTGCAATAAATCTGTCTGTGAAAAGTGTTTGTTACTAAATATTCCACTGTTCAATATTCAACTGCTAGTGGCATTATAACAAAGGGGAAGCAACTGGGAACAAGTGGAATGCCACACAAAATGACAGAGTGGGGTCAGCGCATGCTGAAACGCACAGTACACAGAAGTTGCCACTGAGCGTCTGTAGAGTCAATAGCTAAAGACCTCCAAACTCCATGTGGCCTTCAGATTAGCACAACAATAGTGCATAGAGAGCTTCATGGAATGGGTTTCCATGGCCGAGCATTCAAGCCTTACATCACCAAAGTGCAATGCAAAGCAGTGGAGACGTGATCTCTGGCAGTTCAGTGGACATGTCTGGGTTTGGCGGTTGCCAGGAGAACGGTACTTGCCTGACTGCATTATTCCAAGTGTAAAGTTTGGTGGAGGGGGGATTTTAGTGTGGGGTTGTTTTCAGGGGTTGGGCCATTTAGTTCCAGTGAAGGGAGCTCTTAAGGCACCAGCATACAAGACATTTTGAACAATTTCATGCTCCCAACTTTGTGGGAACAGTTTGGGGATGGCCCCTTCCTGTTCCAACATGACTTCGCACCAGTGCACAAAGCAAGGTCCATAAAGACATGGAGGAGCGAGTCTGGGGTGGAGGAACTTGACTGGCCGACACAGAGTCCTGACCTCCACCTGATAGAACACCTTTGGGATGGATTAGAGCGAAGACTGCGAGCCAGGCCTTCTTGTCCGACATCAGTGCCTGACCTCACAAATGCTCTTCTGGAAGAATGGTCAAACATTCCCATAGACACACTCCTAAACCTTGCGGACAGCCTTCCCAGAAGAGTTGAAGCTGTTTTAGCTGCAAAGGGTGGGCCAACTCAATATTGAACCCTAAGGACTAAGACTGGGATGCCATTAAAGTTCATGTGCGTGTAAAGGCAGGCGTCCCAACACTATAGCTTGGCAATATAGTGTATAATTACTCTGCTGTATGTCACATATTTCACAGAGCCTGCCTTTTGAACTACAGAGGTGCTGAGAGGAGGAGTTTCAGGAGGCAGTGTCAGTACGGGAATCCTTGTTTGCAGGACGCAAGGTACCATGGGATATGAAGTCCTTAGACAAGAGAGAAGCTGCAAAGGTTGCAGAGAATTCAGGAAGTCAAGGAAAGAGATGACCAGCAGACAGGCAGAAATCACAACATGAAAGGAGATTTTTCATGTAAGCTTATTTGTCAAAGCTAAATATTTGTTGTATTTTTATTAAATGCTGAGTGAATGTGAATACAAAGGTATGTTGTGACCATAGGTATCCTTTAAGCCCCTTTCACACAGGAGTTCAGTCTAGATTCGTCTGTCAGTGTTTCCTGGCCCCGTAGCCAGCCACACAATCACAGTCACTCTTTGGCACAATAATAAGTCTAGGGGTGGTTTTTTTTTGGAGTAACTGGGAAAGGGTTGATGGAATTGAGTGGGATGCTCCAAAAATGTAGACTGGAGTGCTGTCACTTGGAGTGATCTGTGTCAGAGGAATCCGGGGAACACAGGGCCCCTGTCACGTACCTGATGGGAGACTGAAAATTACGAGGTTGGCCTCACTTGTGTCACTAGCCCTGACCCCACTGGAGTTGGAACAGAGGAAGTCTAGGACCCAGAAGAACAAGAGCGCCAGTAGTTGTTGTTTGCAGCTCTTGCAGATGATGACTCTAGAAGACCGATGATCTTCTGATTCAGGCACAGTAGTAACAAGCAGAGCAGGTCTTGTAGATTGCCAGGCATGCACCAGAGCAAGGCAGGTAGTGAGGGTAAGAGACAGGAGCAGTGTCATGGGAATAGCCAGGGTCATTAACAGTCGGGCAGCACGGTACAGAATCAGAAGGGAAGCCAAGATCAGGAGCAGAGCCGAAGTCAGGAACCAGTATCAATCAGGAGAGCAATCAGAGTCAGGTGAGGAACAAGCCGGGTCAGCAACAAAGGAATCATACAGGAACAAGCAGGACACGGGGGAGCTGAAGACTAGTCAGCATCTAACATGGGCAGAGACACTCTTTAAATAGGCCGTCTGGTGCCAATCTTCGCCGTGCACGTGCACGATCGCGCATGCGTATTTCTAATCGCAATTCATCTTGCCGGAAATCCCTTACAGCCCCCATCTGCAGAGAGACTAACCGCTGTCTGACTGCAGCCATGGAACGGGTGAGAGAGCACCATACCTTAAGTTACAGAGAATGTTGCTAATCTCAGTAACTCTTTGCTCAGTCTAGCATCCTTTACTTCACCAGTTGCACGTGTTACAGCCTTGCTTGCTGCTGCCTACTGATCATTACACACTCTCAACATATTAAATCACACTCAAGCCCTGCTGCAAAATCTGCACCCTGTGGGTAAAGCTACATTAGTGCTTTAGTTTCATTTTCTACTATTCACTAAGGAATTTCCCTATCACTATAGTTTGTGGCCCTTTCTCAATCTCAGCCTAATCTTAGGATTCCACCCCAGGTGTGCTAAAGGACACCATCCAAATTCAGCATCTCTTAAAGGAGCAGCTTCCCTTTCTTTGTATTCATTTTCTTTTGGAGAACTCCTACCTTTACATCGAAAGAAATTTAAATTCTTATGTGCACCAGCTAGGGCCCCAGCAAGCACGCAGAAGATTGGACACTGCAGTTTAAAGGGACTCCAGTTACAGAGCTAATTTTTTCTCAGAATTAAACCTAGCCACCGGTACCTGAGAGCCCATCGTGGGTTAGCCTGTCAATTTAGTTGCTCCATTCTGCTCATGTGGGAAGAATCATCTCAGGGCTGGGGCTACTGTTTGAATTCTGAATTGCAGGACATCTAAAATTTGAGTGTCCTGTGTTGCAACCCTTAATCTTAGGATTCCACCCAGGTGTGCTAAAGAACACCATCCAAATTCGGGTACCGGTGGCTGGGTTTAAATTATGTGAAAAAATTAGCTCTGTAACTGGATGGATCAAAGTCCCTTTAAACTGCAGTGTCCAATCTTCTAAATGCTTGATGTGGCCCTAGTTGGTGCACATACGAATTTTAATTTCTCTCGATGTAAAGGTAGGAGTTCTCCAAAAGCAGGTGAAGAAAGGGAAGCTGCTCATTTAAGAGATGCTGAATTTGGATGGTGTTCTTTAGCACAACCGGGGTGGAATCCTAAGATTAAGGGTTGCAACACAGCACACTTAAATCAATTTTAGATGTTCTGCAATTCAGAATTCAGAGTGTCAGTTCACTTTAACTTGTATGTGAGTCTACTTTATGGTAACAGCCAGAGGATTCTTCTGGCCAAAGGTCTAAGGTGGTATCAGCAGGGGCTGGGCTTCCAAAGTGTGCTTAGAAGAGTACAGGGAGCCTGAAAACAGCTCTCCTCCCTGTCAGTTTGAGCACACTGATCTGGATTGCTGAGCTCAGCCTTCTGATCAGTGTGCTTACAGTGAAGCACCCCCCGCCCCCTAGTGAAACGATCCCCTCACACAGTTAATCCTTTGATTGCCTTCTAATGTTAACCACTTCCTCCCCAGTGTCATTAGTACAGTGTCAGTGTTTTTTTTGTTTTTTTTTTTGCACTGAACACTGTATTGGTGTCACTGGGGATGTCAGTGACCCCAAGTCAGTTCCCCCCTGTGTCAGAAAGTCCGCCACAGTCCCACTATAAGTCGTTGAAAACCGCCATTATTAGTATAAAAAAAAAAATCCCAGTATCTATTATACCGCCATCTGTAGACACTATAACTTTCACGTAAGCCAATTAATTACACGTATTGTGATTTTTTTTTTAGCAAAGACATATCGCAGAATACACTTTGGCCTAAATTTATGACAAAATTAGATTTTTTTTTAATTTTTTTACTGGACATGTTTTATGACAAAAAGTCCAAAATATTGTTTGTTTTATTTATAGCGCAAAAAAAAAAAACCACACAGGCGATCAAATACCACCGAAAGAAAGCTCAATTTCTGGGGAAAAAAGGACTTAAATTTCATTTGGGTGCAGCGTTGCATGACCATGCAATTGTCAGTTAAATTAATGCAGCGCCGTAACACAAACCTCTTCTACAGGGCAGCACAAGGTGCGCAAAATCATATATATATACACGTGATTAGCGCTCCTGTGGTTTTTTTTCACGCCCCTCCCAGATAGCTTCAGATTGCCTGTCAGTACACCAGTAATCACATTTAACCCCTTGATTGTCAGGAACACGCTCATATACAATAACCTCTATTGCTAGTATAGTGTCTGAACGGAACAGTATCTTTGACCAGATCAGCACTATACCAGCGTTCACATTAGTATAGTGTCCCCAAAAACACAACGTTAGTGGTATCAGCCCAGCACCTACCAGCACCTGTGTTTAGCCCCTACACTTATCCCCCCCTTCTCCCCCAGCAAATGCTGTGTCAGTAGGTCACTGTCACTTGATACATTGCACACAAAACCGCAGTGTTCGCAGATAAGGCCTGATCTCTGTTAGCACTTGCTGGTATATTTTGATGACTCTCATATGTAGCAGAGTGCTAGTACTAGTGCCGCTCTACCTTTTAGTGAACTGGCGAGCATCTGCGGCCTAGTACATTCTGGTCTTTCACATACCAGCACTGCAGTATCACTTGGTAACATGGCAAGTCCCAAAAGAGCAGTACAAACTGGTGCGGTGGCAAGCACAAGTATTCCGCAACCACCAAGAATTCGCACACAGGCCCGTAGAGCCCCTAGTATCCTTCTGGATGTGCTTTCAAATCTCGATTGGCAGCCCACAAATCTGCAGCACCCGTACTTGCCCCTTTCACTGCCCAACCCGGGAATTCAGGTGGAAACAGTTTCCGAATTTACATTTTTTTTTAGGGGCCTAACCGTCAATATGGGCATTACTAAAAAAAATTAATTGCGGTTGCATTGGTCCACAGACCCAATTAATCATATGCCTGTGTTCTCTGCTGCCATGGTAAGGCATAGATATGAGAATATAATGTGTTTTGTGCATTTCAACGACAGCAGACTCTTTTGTCCTCAGAGTGACCCTGAATTTGACTGGCTCTGCAAAATGCAGCCCCTCATAAGTCACCTTAACCAAAAATTTGCAGTTGTCCATACTCCCCATCAAAAAAATCTGTGTTGATGAGTTCCTCATTAATTTTTCTGGCCACCTTGCATTCAAACTATTTCTCCCCAGCAAGCGTGCCAGATATGGGGTCAAGATGTATAAAACCTGTGAGAGGGCAACAGGCTATACATATAAGTTTCGGATTTACAAGGGAAAAGATGGTCACGTGGAGCCCCCCCTCGGATGCCCAGACTACATGGGGAGTAGTGGCAAGATAGTTTGGGACTTGGTGTCATCCTTATTCCATATGGGGTACCACTTATACGTGGACAATTTTTATTCAAGCGTTCCACTATTAGACATTTGTACAATCTTGGAACTGGCGCATGTGTCACCGTGTCACCTAATGTGTGCCCACCATTAGAAGTGGGTGGATGCAGGGCGGTATATTCTAATGGTGAGCATACCACACACTTTTTCTGGCAGAGATTTCTTCTCTTTTTTTCATTCAGCCCACGGGCTGCATACAACAACAACAAAAAAAGAACATAGTATATATACCCAACAAGGAGCAGCGAAATACTGGTACATCACTGGACTTTGAACGGTTATACCAGGATGAGGCCTGCAACTGCAGGCCTCATCCTGGTATTGATTTTTTCAGCCAGCAATCGGCTTTCATGTAAAAGCAATCCTAGCGGTTAATTAGCTGCAGGATTGCTTTTACAAGCAGCGGAAGATGATGCCCCCCCCCCCCTCCCCTGCTGCCTTCCATGGCCTTCTCTGGCAGTCCTGTGACATCAGGGGAACCTGAAAATGCAGCCAGTGTGTCAGAGCCTGGGTTTGAACCTGGGCCTTCTACGGTGAGAGGCAATGTTTCTTCTTGCTGAGCCACCTGAGTTACTGGACAGCTCTCTTGACAATTCTTTGAATGATCCTGCCTTGGCCCTGTTTGTCTTGAACCTTGAACCCCTTGCTCCTCCCATGAACTTCCTGATAAAAACCATGCCTCTGCATTTCCTCTTTGCCAGATTATTGTGCCTTCACCAGCCAATATCCCGCTTGTCTCTCCTGCTGCCGTCTATACCTTCGTTACCGACCTTTGGCTTGTTCCTGGACTATGATTTTGCCTCATCCTCATCTACTACCATTTGTGACCGACCCTTGGCTTGTTGACTGACTCCGCTTCTGCTTGATCCTTTACTTGTTCGATCTGCTACTGGTTTCCGGCTTGCTCATTTCCTGGAGGGGTGATCCTGAGATCTGCGACCTGTTATCAACACGCAGCCAAATCCATCTCCACCATTAGTAGCTCTGGTGAAAACCGGTTGGTGCTTAGACCCCGCACCTCAGGTGAGCCTGCGTCCTTTCCCAGGGTGACCTGCCTGTGTACCTATCCTGCTGGTTTCAGGTAAGCCTTAACACTGCTATAGCTATTGGTCTCTGAACCTGACCCAGAACGTGACACGGTGTTTTCTGCCAGCTGACCATAGAGCTGATTGGAGACCAGAATGGTGCCAATCATCTCTATAGTCTAAGAAATCGGAAGCTACGAGCATTTCATCAGAAATAAATATACAGAAATCCCCCTGCGCTCCACAGAACCTAGTGAGTTAGCTGCTATCACCTAATTCTCTATACCGCAAGATATGTAAAACAAAAATAATATAAGTGGTGAAGCGCTCAACTTAAATAATCAAAAACTAGTGCAATATCCCCATATATAAATATCACATCCCTAGTGGTATAATGATACCCAAATGATAACTCTTAAGCTATGCAGATATACAAATAATAATAATATAAATAATAATGAATGAAAAACTAGTGCAATATCTTCATATATACATAATATATCCCTGGTGATATAGTGATAAACAACTAATATCTCTTAGACTGTGCAAAAGTGATACTAAAATACAATTAATAATACCAATTTACATGAAATATTAATTACAATAAATTAAATAGTGATGCCACACTGTGCAAAATTATAGAAAAGTGTTCAAATAATGTCACTCCATGCTACAATAGTGCTCTTCGTGAAAATCTTGACGTGACTCCCCTCAATAGCAGAAATGCCCCCTCACCTTCCACATTCGACCCTTGCGGGTCACAGAGCTTTTTATATATATATATCTCTGCCAGATATTAATCTCCTCCACTGCCTCCACCGACCTTGATCCTCCTCCAGGCAGTAAGTAAACACTCCAATAACTCCCCTCATACAACGAATTCAAGCATCAGGGCAGGCCAGAGAGCTTCCTTCGTGTCCCAGGAGAGCTTGCTTTTTTTTTATTTTTATTTTTATCTTTAATTGTAATAAAATTCTAAAATTCCATTTATGATTTTAATTAATTGTTTTTTATAAAGTTTTAGTATTATATTAAATTATATTCAGGGTATGTTTAATGAAGAATGGTTTATCTAATAATGGATGTAAATTAATAACACATGTTTATTTTTAAAAATGAATTAAAATGTATAACATATAGATATAGTATGAAAATTGGGATTAATATTGATATGTTGATTATATTATGGTAACCCTAATGTTGATGATAAAGTATAAAATTGAAATCCAAATTGTGAAAGGTGTGGATGCTAACATTGAGATAATAGCCGTAGGATGCTGATGCGCACTTCGAATCTGCACAGAAAAGTGGTAATTAAGTACATAATGTATGAGATCGAGATATAGTTTAAACTCCAAAAAAATGGAGGAGTAATGAAGAGCAGCTACTAAATCATAGCAAAATAGGCGCCGATAGGATATAAATAGTCTCTGTGCATGATGGCATGCAAAACTACATCCCCCAGAGGAAGCTACGAGTCCCTGTAGCGTAACGCGTAGGGGAGGGGCGGTGACGTCATCACGCATCCACAGGAACGGCGAGTATACTCATTGAAGGCAGACACACCTGTAAGGCTGACCAGAGTACGATCTGGATACACTTCATGTAAAGCGATACTTTATCTTTGAAAATGTGAGTGGGAAATCAAAGTACAATAAACAATTGATATCCCGGATAAGACACTATGTTTCTTTTCCCTTCTCTGTATGTTCCATATATGGAGGATTAAGCCAAGCAGCCAGCAGAGAAAGTTTTACTGAGAAGGCTGTGCTGAGGAGAGAGGAGAGGAGAGAGAGGTTCACGCAGTGGACACAGACTCATCACACTATCCAAGACTGAATAATAACACCATCTCATTCACACAGAAGAGAACTGTCATTCCCACTTCAAATATATTTAATATTTTTTATTTTTATTTATATATTTTTTATTTTTATTTATAGTTTTTCTTTGTTTTTTTCACATTTAAAAATTAATTTATTTTATATATTTACACAAATCATATATTTAAGTATAATTGATAGATGTATTTATTTGAGTATCGGTGGTACACTTAGGAATTCACAATATCACATAAGGTAGAATATAGTGGATGTTTGAATTCCCTGTGATAGCATTAAAAGTGATCAAAAAAAAAATGAAAGGGACAGTGTAAAAATAATTTTAAAAAATCAAAATACCTTGTGACATAAAAAATTGCAGCACCTACCATTTTATTCACTAGGGTGTTTGCTTTAACCACTTCAAGTCTGGACACTTTTACCCCCTTCCTTTCCAGGCCAATTTCCAGCTTTCAGCGCTATCACACTTTGAATGATTATTGCGCGGTCATGCAACACTGTACCCATGTGCATTTTTTGACACAGATAAAGCTTTATTTTGGTGGTATTCATTCACCACTGGGATTTTTTTTTTTGCTATGTAAATGAAAAAGTCCAAAAATTTTTGAAAAAAAGGGTTTTTCTTCTAAAATTTTGCAAATAAATAATATTTCATCATAAATCAATAAATCTTAGTCAACATGTATTCTGTTATCTTTTTAGTTAAAAAAAAACCCCAAATTAGTTTATAGCCAAAAATTATAATTTTTACAAATTTTGTTTACATTTTTATTTTATTTTTTTTATACTTTTTTACATACTGTCACCCTAGCAGTACAGTGTCACCATAGTGACACTGTACTACATGTGGGGGTGATGATTTTTTTTTTTTTTACACTGATTGCTTTTACACCCATAAAGGCTGTAAAAGCAATCATTTCTCCTTCTCTCTGGCTGCATTCTTGCAGCCATTGAGAACTACTGTGTGAGCTGTGATTGGTCACAGCTTGTCACTTGGTACAAGGCTGTTGTGAATAGCCTTGTACCATGTGACCTCTGTGATCATTGATTACTACGTGTGAAATCTGTGAATGATGTCAGAAGTGACATCTTGCTTACTACTCTGCATGTGATCACTGATTGGCCAATCAGTGATCACATGATTGGGACCTCGCAGAGAGGTTCCGTACGACGATCGGTGTTCCACTGTGTCCGGAGGACACAGTGGGCAGCGGATCGCGGTGCTGCGCGCTCCCAGGGGGAGCACAAGGAGGGGCGGTGAGGCCGTTTATAAATGGCCACCCGACCCTGCACTGCCACCGTCCGGCCGTTTATATACAATGGCCAGACGGGAGGTGGTTAAAAATATATATAATGTTTGGGGGTTTAAATTAATTTCCTAGCAAATAATACTGATTTTTTTTTCATGTGAACAAAAAGTGTCAGAAAAGGCTTGATCTTCAGGCGGTTAGAAGAGTGAGTGATGTGTGGCATAAACTTCTAATGCTGGGCATAAAATGTCCTCACCCCCCAAAACTACCTCTTTTTGGAAAATAGACACTAGAGATGAGCGAAGTATTCAAAAATTCGATTCGGCTGATTCGGCGAATTCGAGGAATAAATTCAATTCGAGGCGAATATATTCGCTGCGAATTTAACTTATAAAAAGGGTGTTTCTAGGCTTCAGAGAGCCTTTATATTAGTGCAGAACACTGTACCTTTAATTTAAATGCCCTTGGAGTCTGCTGGGGAAGAGAAATAATACTGTCAGTCAGTATGACATGCAGATGAGTGCCGTCGATCTTAGAATCACCGCACACTTCACTCATTTGGGCAGTCACGGGGCCAAAACCAGAGTGTGGAGCCACAGTGTGGCGGTGGAGGCAGCAGCAATGGGAGGCCATACAGCACCCTATGACAAAATGGAACCCACCATCAGTGTGAGGAGACCTGAAAGTGGCACATGGCAGAGTGTGGCGATGGAGACAGCAGCAATGGGAGGCCGTACAGGGACCCATGAGACACTCTGGACCTGGCAGCAGCATGAGGAGGTGGTACAGGGGCCCATGGCAGATTACGGGCCTGGCAGCAGCAATGGGAGGCCCGTAATCTGCCAGCACCCTATGACAAAATGGAACCCACCAGCAGTGTGAGGAGACCTGAAAGTGGCACATGGCAGAGTGTGGCGATGGAGACAGCAGCAATGGGAGGCCGTACAGGGACCCATGACACACTCTGGACCTGGCAGCAGCATGAGGAGGCGGTACAGGGGCCCATGACAGATTACGGGCCTGGCAGCAGCAGCAATGGGAGGCCCGTAATCTGCCAGCAACCTATGACAAAATGGAACCCACCAGCAGTGGAGCTGGTGCTCTACTCCGTGGCCGTTTGCCTCCACTGACACTGCTGCGACCCTGCTGCCTCCTGGGCAACCCACCGACGGTTTTGCTCGCTGCCAAGCTGGCACCCTCTTCTCCTGATGATGCGGAAGCAATAGCCTGATGACGACGAGGCTGCCAAGTGCGATCAGCCTCATCATCATCAATTAGGGTCTCCGCCTCACTACTAGCCCCCTCGGCTGCGTGTGGGTCAGGAGACAGACCTGTCTCTAGACCGGCTACCGAGCCACTCTCCTCGCCAGTACTTCTTCGCCTGGCTGCTGAAGAGGCGGATGTCTCCCCCCGTTCCTGACCGCCCTCTGTTAGCTCTTCCTCACTGTACAGTGGGGCTGAGCCCACAGCATGCGATACTTCGCTTGGTGAGGGAACACCAAAGGACAGGGGCAGGTAGAGGACACGTGATTTCAGTGGGCTTGCTCCCGGGCCATGCCAACTAACGGTTGTGTCTGACGTACCCACCGACCGTTGGCTGTAGGTGTCAGAGGTGACCTGGGAAGAGGAAGACGACCGAGCCAACCAATCGATGACGGCAGGGTTGTCGGTGGAGACACGACCGCTGGATGACACCGGGAGCACTGGCCTCTGGCTGCGACTAGTGCTGCCTCAACCCCTTCCTCTGCTGCCACGTCTGCTCGCTCCTGAAACATTGCCTCCTCTGCCACTCCTCTGCGTGTTGTCTGACATACTCTTTAATTCAACGATTCTGTGTCCCTGAGTAACAATTCTGTGTCCCTGAGTAACAGTTCTGTGTCCCTGAGTAACAATTCTGTGTCCCTGAGTAACAATTCTGTGTCCCTGAGTAACAATTCTGTGTCCCTCAGTAACAATTCTGTGTCCCTCAGTAACAATTCTGTGTCTGTCCCTGAGTAACAGTTCTGTGTCCCTGAGTAACAATTCTGTGTCCTTGAGTAACAATTCTGTGTCCCTGAGTAACAATTCTGTGTCCCTGAGTAACAATTCTGTGTCCCTGAGTAACAATTCTGTGTCCCTGAGTAACAATTCTGTGTCCCTGAGTAACAATTCTGTGTCCCTCAGTAACAATTCTGTGTCCCTCAGTAACAATTCTGTGTCCCTTAGTAACAATTCTGTGTCCCTCAGTAACAATTCTGTGTCTGTCCCTCAGTAACAATTCTGTGTCCCTCAGTAACAATTCTGTGTCTGTCCCTGAGTAACAATTCTGTGTCCCTGAGTAACAGTTCTGTGTCCCTGAGTAACAGTTCTGTGTCCCTGAGTAACAATTCTGTGTCCCTCAGTAACAATTCTGTGTCCCTCAGTAACAATTCTGTGTCCCTCAGTAACAATTCTGTGTCTGTCCCTGAGTAACAATTCTGTGTCCCTGAGTAACAGTTCTGTGTCCCCTGAGTAACAGTTCTGTGTCCCTGAGTAACAGTTCTGTGTCCCTGAGTAACAGTTCTGTGTCCCTGAGTAACAATTCTGTGTCCCTCAGTAACAATTCTGTGTCCCTCAGTAACAATTCTGTGTCCCTCAGTAACAATTCTGTGTCTGTCCCTGAGTTACAATTCTGTGTCCCTGAGTAACAGTTCTGTGTCCCTGAGTAACAATTCTGTGTCCCTGAGTAACAGTTCTGTGTCCCTGAGTAACAATTCTGTGTCCCTGAGTAACAATTCTGTGTCCCTGAGTAACAATTCTGTGTCCCTGAGTAACAATTCTGTGTCCCTCAGTAACAATTCTGTGTCCCTCAGTAACAATTCTGTGTCCCTCAGTAACAATTCTGTGTCCCTCAGTAACAATTCTGTGTCCCTCAGTAACAATTCTGTGTCCCTGAGTAACAGTTCTGTGTCCCTGAGTAACAGTTCTGTGTCCCTGAGTAACAGTTCTGTGTCCCTCAGTAACAATTCTGTGTCTGTCCCTGAGTAACAATTCTGTGTCCCTCAGTAACAATTCTGTGTCCCTCAGTAACAATTCTGTGTCTGTCCCTGAGTAACAGTTCTGTGTCCCTGAGTAACAGTTCTGTGTCCCTGAGTAACAGTTCTGTGTCCCTGAGTAACAGTTCTGTGTCCCTCAGTAACAGTTCTGTGTCCCTCAGTAACAATTCTGTGTCCCTCAGTAACAATTCTGTGTCTGTCCCTGAGTAACAATTCTGTGTGTCCCTGAGTAACATTCTGTGTCCCTGAGTAACAGTTCTGTGTCCCTGAGTAACAGTTCTGTGTCCCTCAGTAACAGTTCTGTGTCCCTCAGTAACAGTTCTGTGTCCCTCAGTAACAATTCTGTGTCTGTCCCTGAGTAACATTTCTGTGTCCCTCAGTAACAATTCTGTGTCCCTCAGTAACAATTCTGTGTCCCTCAGTAACAATTCTGTGTCTGTCCCTGAGTAACAGTTCTGTGTCCCTGAGTAACAGTTCTGTGTCCCTGAGTAACAATTCTGTGTCCCTGAGTAACAATTCTGTCCCTAAGTAACGATTCTGTGTCCCTAAAGTATCTGTGGCCCTAACTCTGTCCCTAATACAGAGAGGTCTGTCTCTCTTGAATGACCGGAGGTAAATGGAGAATTGTAAGATGGCCGCAATTTATAGCTCCACCATTACACAGTGCTGGCTGGCTGGCTGCTGATTGGCTAATGCGATCACATGTCATGAATGAATGCATTATGGGTCAGCGCGCCTTGTCTGCGCGCCTTCCCAGAGATCCCCGCTCCGTCGCCACACATGTCGCCGCCATTTTTGGAAAAATTTCGATTCGCGCATGCGAAATCTGCTAATTTTCGGATTCGGCGCAAATCGAATTTTTCCTAATATTCGAAACGAATTCCACTTCGCCAAGTTCGATTCGCTCATCTCTAGTAGACACCCCAAACTATTTGCTGAGAGGCATGTTGAATCAACAGAAGAACTATTTTTTTTACAAGTTTTTGGAAAATGACAAAAAAAATATATATTTTTATTAAAATTGTCACTTAAATGATTTATTGCTCACACATGCTCTGCTACTTCTCCTGAGTATGGGGGTACCAAATGTGAGAGATGTTTTGGCAGTCTAGCCAAGTACAGGACCCCAAAATCCAATAAGCACCTTCAGGCTTTTAAAGGGCTTTATTTCCTCATTACACTTCCTGACTACCTATCACAATTTTTGGAGGCCCTGAAATGCCAGGATAGCACCAACCCCCCCCCCCAAATGACCCCTTTTTATGAAAGAATACACCCCAAGGAGTTTGAGAAGAAGCATGGTGAGTATTTTGCAGATCTTGTTTGTTGCCACAAGTTTTTGGAAAATGAAACAAAAAAAAAAACGTATTTTTCTTTTTATATTTCAAAACCTTGTAAGAAAAAATTAGATCTGCAAAATACCCACCATGCCTCTTTTTAAATTCCTTGGGGTGTCTACTTTCCAAAAAGGGTCATTTGGGGGGGGAGTTAGTGCTATCCTGGCATTTCAGGACCTCCAAAACTGTGATAGGTAGTGAGGAAGTGAGATGTGGATGTTACGCACCTTCAGGCTTTCAAAGTGGTCACTGGATTTCAGGCTTCTGTATGTGGCTAGGCTCCCAAAAAGTCTCACACATGTGGTATCGCCATACTCGGCAGAAGTAGCAGAATGTATTTTGAGGTGTAATTTCACATATACCCATGGCTTGTGCGAGAAATATATAATTTAAATGACAACTTTGTGTAAAAAGAAAAAAAAATGTTTTTGTCGTTTTCCAGAAACTTGTGGAAAAAAATAAATCTTCCATGGACTCAATATGCCTCTCAGCAGATAGCTCAGGGTGTCTACTTTCCGAAAAGTGGTCATTTGGGGGTGATTGTACTATCCTGGTATTTTAGCGCCTCAAGAAATGTGATGGGCGGTCAGAAAGTAAAAGCTGTGTAAATTCCATTATCTATACCGGGTGTCGGCAACCCGCGGCTCCAGAGCCACATGCGGCTCTTTTTCACCTTTGCTGCGGCTCTTCTGTGTGCCGGGCGCCCGCTCCCCTCCCTCCTCTCGGGCGGCCGCCCAAAAGTCAGGACTCTGCAGCTAGCCCAGCAATGGGCAAACTACGGCCCGGCGGAACCTTTTAAATCCGGCCCGCGGAGCGTGGCAAACATTGGCTGTCAGGATGTAGGCGGGGCAGCGTGACAAACTCCTCTCCTCTCACAGTCTGCCCTGAAGACCGGAACGGCGCGGGAACACGGCGAGAGGAACGCGCGGAGCAAAGGTAAGTGAATTGACACAATATGGGGAATGAATTACTATATGGGGAATGAATTACTATATGGGGAATGAATTACTATAGGGGGGATGAATTACTATTGGGGGATGAATTACTATATGGGGATGAATTACTATTGGGGATGAATTACTGTATGGGGATGATTGTATGGGGGATGAATTACTATATGGGGGATGAATTACTATGTGGGGGATGAATTACTATGTGGGGGATGAATTACTATGGGGGATGAATTACTATGTGGGGGATGAATTACTATATGGGGGATGAATTACTATATGGGGGATGAATTACTATGGGGGATGAATTACTATATGGGGGATGTATTTTCAGTTTTAAAAATGTGGCTCTCAAAATAAATTTCAATCGTGGTTTTGGCGAGATTTGGCTCAGTTGAAAAAAAAGGTTGCCCGCCACTGACCTAAGGCTATGATTGTGATTATGACGATACACTGTGGCCCTGATTAACCCTTTGCTTACTGGGCCCTTAAACCCCCTTCATGACCAGAGCGCTTTTTGCAATATATGCAGTGTCGGATTTGTTTTAAATGTTGCAATGGTTTTGCGGCTCCCAGTCTTTTTTTCCCTCTCGGAAACGGGTCCAAGTGGCTCTTTATGTCTTAAAGGTTGCAGACCCCTGATCTATACCATAGTTTGTAGACGCTATAACTTTCACACAAAGCAATAAATATACACTTAGTGGGATTTTTTTAACCAAAATCATGTAGCAGAATACATTTTGTCCTAAATTTATGACAACATTTTAGTTTTTTTGGATATTTTTTA